ACCTAAGCGAAAACGCGTTCAAAACGTGGAATGCAGTGATATTAAACAAAGACCACATCCGCAGGAATCGAAGAGAGTGCAAGTCACGATTCTCAGCAAAAGTGTAAATGAGTCGAGACAGAGGGAGCTGTGTATCCTCCATCGATCAATGAGTCCGCAAGCATCAGTAATAAACCCAATTTATTGACGAGATCAAAAACCAAGTGAATCATTCTATACCGGTACGAAAATAAGTATGACAACGTTCCGGCAACACTCTGTGAATAAAAGAATAACGTCAGGCTTCAGAGAACATAAAAAGTTTCAAAGAATCAAAGGTATGATACAGCTGTAGCAAAAGATCACCGTACAGAGATGTTAGGGAGAAGATTTTGAGAAATTTGAGCATTGAGATTAACAGCAGAAATTACATACAATATGCATAAAATAGTTCTATCAGCTTGTGTAGTCCATATCTGAATAGTCCACATACTTTCGTGAGCGAAGTGTGCAATGGCGTTTAATCACCGAAAGGGGTACATCGTCGTCGGAAATCGAACAGTTGTCATCCGAGGAGTTATGGACTGTCGAGAGTAACCTCCTTTCACTTTGTTGAGACCATTTCCGCTTACGATCACGTCCACTGAAACAACCGCTTTTCTAGAGCAAAATGTTCAGTTCTATTAAAAAGAAAGTTTATACATGAATTTTTAAAATGAGGGTTATCCTCCTTTCAAACACAAAACATGTATTTTTGCAACGAAAGTTCAATCTATGAGTGTTAATAAAACATTTGGGCTACGGGCGCTCTGCGAACAAATCATCATCGGATCGGGATCGAGCTGTTATGAATATGGGTTAAAGTACAGCTCACTGGGCGGATCCCTGTCCACCGTGGGCGGATCTTCTCCGTTATATTTCTGTGACCTATTCCTCAAAACTGCTCAATTTCTCGGTGTCTGAGCTGTTTTGAATCAGAAAGTTTTGTCTTGCGCATGGACCATTCCTGTGCAAAATCCTCCTCGACGTAGGGAGATCTGCTGATTTCACATGCGCTCTTTTCGTCATGGCCTCATGCCCACCCAAACCCAATTTGAGCGAACCTCTTCAGGAGCCTCCTCTGGTGATGTACGATTTGACAAGTAGACTGACTGACGCAAATTTTTTTACATATTGTAATTGATGATGATGAATTCATACATACAGATAGTAATGATTAGGTAGCCATAGCCCTGCCCACAATGGGGGTTTAGCTATCCCTCTTTCAACAGCCCCTAACCACTTGACCATTTTGAAGATGTGTTTACATTTTCCCGATTCTTCCGACCACTTTTTCAAAATCCAGAGGGTTTTTAACTTAACAGATACACGATTTTTCAGAAGTACCTTTCATTTAGATACATGAGCCACCCGACGAGGGCGGAACACCGCTGAGCTTACATGTGCTCTGTTGATCTTGTCCTAAGCCCAACACATCCCAAACATCACTCGAACTCTCCAGGTGCTTCGTCAGGTATCCAATTTCGTGACAGGCCTTCAAACCTACCAACAAATGTCAAACAAACAAACAAACATACAAACAAACAGACAGACAAACAGACAGGCGCCAGCGCGCTATAAATTAGAATGTCTTTTGGCAATAAATGCTCGTGAATGATGGTTCATTATTCAGCTACAGTACTGACAGACTATTGAGTGGGATATGAGGTAAGGAACTCTCCCATGTGCAAGCTGCTTATGGCTGCTGATTGCGAAAATGTTCGAATTTTCTAGGCCACCCACCCCCGCCGAATGGAACTATCAGATTTGCAAAAAACCGACAACAGTGTCGAGCCGTCTCACTGAATATGGCAGTGAAAGATTATATTTCACAGCTATAGACTTTCTCATGAAATAACTTCTGTAGTAACTTGGGTATACTGTGACAGCAACGGCCACTTTTTAAGACCAGACCAGATAGGAAGCAATCCTTCCAAGGTGATGGGGTTTTGATGAAAATCATTTGTGCTCAGCGGTCCAATTGGAGATGAATAATTCTCCTGGTGACCATGGCGCATAAAAGGGGATAGTGACTTTCCGAATGGACTTGATCTGGTTGTGGACGTACAAACGAGAACTTTTGATCCGCTGCTGGCGTTATATAAGATTGACTGAACGTGTATACCGCTCTAGGGATAATTGCAATTAGGGGAATGAAAAAATACAGAACTCAAAAGGAAAATAAAAGAGAACCTTCGTGTGAAGCTGAGCAGCGGCTCGTCTAGTTCAGAGTCAGAATCGATGTGCCGACGGCTGCCAGAAGGACCTTGATTTCTGCATGCAAAAGACTGTACTATATTCCTGAAAAAAGTCATTGGTGGTAGTAGGATGACATTCAACGCGAAATAAAACTGTTTTCGGGATTAGGTCAATCTCAACTTCCTTTTTATTCTTTCATATCTTTTCTTTCTGACTATTATTGATTTCATTTTTCATGCCCCTGCTTCTTTACTTCCGAATTTCTACTCCAATCCGGCTTTACACTGGTTCGTGTGCTAACTCATTTTAATACTCATTGATAAAGCAGAGACGAATTACATGCGGCCAGGGTATATTTATCCTACTATACCAGTCGAATGGACTTGATCTGATTGTGGACACAAATACGAGAACTTTTGATCTGCCACTGGTGTTTTTATAAGATTGACCGAACGAGTATACCGCTTTAAGGGTAACGTTTGCAAAATGTTTCTAATTAATTGGTATAATGTCGGTTACAATTAGGAAAATGACAAATACAACTCAAACGGAAAATAAGGAACCTCCGTGTGAAGTTGAGGAGCGGCTCGTCTTGTTCAGAGTCAGAATCGATGTGCCGACGTCTGCCAGAAGTAACTTGGTTTCTGCATACGAAAGACTGCCCTGTGTTTCTGAAAAAAGTCATTCTGGGTATAATAGGATGATTTTCTACGCGCACTAAGACGTTTTTAGAAGTAGATCATTCTCAACTTCCTCCTTATTCTTTGTTAATTTTTCTGACTGTTATCTACTTTTGACTATTTATTTATACTCACCATTGGCCTGTCGCCTGTACCCCTTTCATATTTGGATTCATACATTCATTTGTTAGAGCTGGGACATCTAAATCGGAAAAGTCTAATTCGGGTTGTTAAGCTTTCATACAACCCGATGATCTTGGTGCATCCATGCATCAGAAACACAGGTCGCCATCTCAGACCACGTTTTGAGCAGCCTGCTTTGATCCTTATATATAACAGCCTCTCCCGAGGAGTATTGGACAACGCTGCAGTATTGAGAGCACCCTCGGGTTCAGGCAAATAAAGTTCATTTAATTACTGTTTTTGCCATACCAGTGTCTGCGAGTACCTTGTCAGGCACTGACGTGAGGGCTGGGTTGAATCTCACTAGCTACCCAGGTCATCCCGATGTGGACAAGAGGCCTTAATTTTGGAAGCGGCCCCAAATCGCCTTCGGGACTTCTAGTTATCTGAGTGCGAGCTTTTTGCTGAGCCGATGTGCAAGAAAACAAGCGCAATCGCGGACTCTCCATATACGTATGCATGGATACACCTACGAGATTCAGAAGGTACATCGACTCAGCACAGCAGAAGCAGAGTCCATCCCCTGAGAACCTGTGCATAGAGTCGCTTGCCTTTAGAACTACTGCCTACATGTAAGTGATAAGGGGTGTAGATTCGCTCGCAGATGTAGCAGGATGAGATCATTCGTATATACTATTGCAGTATTACATTGCGTATAACGCGTTGAAGGCACAGTCCACGATAATTTCGAGGTATCTAGTTTTAGACGAATAATATGTAGAAGCGATATTTCAGAATAGTGCAAAAAAGGTGTAGAAAGCACGAAAGTCGGTGCACTAGGGGAACATGAGGCTTTGAAAAAGAATTCGAATCAGAGGTGACAAGAATGTGACGACATACGTTGCCTGAAAGGGGTATTTGGACGAGATGTGCAATTTTGGGTGCATTACGTACAGCTGGCCATAGTAAGCCGCCTGCGTGCAAGCTGTGGGTTCCGGTGCGAATGATGCGACTTCCACAGCTTATACTTGTCCACCTTAGGTGTATACGTCGGCTGAGATAATGACAGATAAAGAATGAAGGCTGAAGTTAAAGACTGGCACTGATTGGTACAAGGAATAATAGCAAACGATAAGGTCTAATATGTGATCACAGAAGAGGTTTATAGTGGAAACTTCACACCTCTGACAGATGTGGGATCGCGGATGGTAGCCGAGGACTAGTAACAGCTGATAAGCGCTGATAACTGTGATACTTCAGTGCGATATATTGGATGCGACTGAGTGACATGTAGCGGATTACAGACTTATAACAGCCGATAAAGAACCGAAATGACATATACCCATTAAGAAGGGGCGATGAAATAAAATGAAAAAATGACTAGTGCAGTAATAAGAACCTGTCATATGGTTCCTACCTGCTATCAGATCACGACGAGTACACCTCAAGTTTGCACCTCAGTAAGACCCATGTACTGTTTTTATTCCAATACCAATTGCCACGAAACCTGCTCGACCACCAATGATCTCAAAATCTTGGCCATTGATTTTTACACATGAAGACAACGTGTGTTTTGAATATAAACTTCTGATAGTACTGTTATTATCACTCGACTACTCAGCACACATCAACAATGTCATTCAAACTCCGGCTGAACAATCGCGAACAGTTGCGTTTTCACCCACGTTTTCACGATATACACGTGCGTGAAACACACTAGTCTGCATAACACTGGTTTAATCATTTCCAAACACTGTGGCTTCTTGTTTCGCTAGACTTGAATCATAATTTTTTTAAACATTCAACAAACCTTACAAAATGGAGTTCCTTCTTTCTCAGTTTCCCTATCAGATGTAAATAAGAAGTAGAAACACTTACACAATCCCTACTTCCATTCCAAATGTTCTAGAAGTCCTTTTCTTTCTTTCATGTTTTTCCACTTGATCAGTCGTTCTCCTACAAAAGTGCAACCTTCCATGCGTAAACTTTGCTATTCAATGAGGTAGCATGGCTACTCAAAAAAGAAGGCAACTCACTTTACCAAAGAGTTTCTCTCACATTCTGCAGAACCATCGATTCTTTCGCATAGGCCACCTTAAAGCAAACNAACCCTTCCTCATCGAGTGTTGCTAATGAAAAAAATGTGAGGAAAAAATTTAAAATGGCCGCTGATAATGGGGACTACAACTTGAACTTGAAATAGGCAGGAGCAAGTTACCCAAAATAACTACGGGTAAAGATGTGATGGAAAGGAGCAAGTCGTTTCGCTGCGCTACGCACGTGCAGTCTCGAAAGTTGTATTCCAACGCTCTGCGCTTCCATGGCCCCGATAGTTCGTTCGCAAAAAATCGAAATCGTTAAAATCAACCAGCTATAGCACTGATAAATAATCATGACACACCTTTTCGAGGACGCAGATCCATTTCTAATCGAGGCTTTTCCCTGAGTAAAGATTCGTATTCCGATATTGATAAGGATGGAATGAAGTCTTGATCATCGTCACTCTGAGATTGTTGAGTTTCTCTTAAATTTATTATGAGGTTAAGGCGATTCTTAAGAAGTGGAAAAACAAATATAATAAGAAAAAAACAAATATGATAAGAAAAGAGAAAATGACTTTAACACTGAACAACCAACTTACATTTCAGCATGCAACAGTCTCCTGAACCGCGCCTTTTTGCGATAAGAAAGCCTGGGAGTGTTCAACAAAGAGGCAGGACTGCTTTTCATAGTACATGCATCTAATACACGTTGGCCAGCTGGAGATTCTTTCACTGACTGCATGCGCTCTTTCGAACAGATAAGTGTCCGAAGATGGGTAACCTGTAAGTGAGCATTCCATTTTACTCCAGGAGAAAGTCGTTTCATTTAATTACCGATCGTTTTGACTTTTCCGAATCAGAGTTTGAGAACTCATACTCGTCACCGTTCTTTGCTGGTTTCGCCATGGGAAGGATAAAGACATCACCGAATGGGCGTCGCTTTTCTGCCAGTATACGTCGGCAAATGGGATCAGTTTCAAGAGATAACCCAAATGCAGTTCTGGAAAAAATCAAGAATTACGTGAACCGCAAGCAAGAAAAGGCAGAGATGCAACATACTGTGGTTGGTTTTCTTTGGAGTCATCCAAAGCCGAGAAATTTGGTGAACACCTCTGAAGAAAGAAGACTGGAGATACTCTACCATGACTTTATGAAGATGTTTTTGGAAAAGTTTATCATTGAAAAGTAGACCAGGACGGCCAAAATAGTAAAAATTGCAGTGAAGCCAGTTCAGACTTCTATAGCTGAACGATACTGAAGAAGCATTTAACTCTTTAGATCCGGATTCAGGTCTCAACCTACTTAAATCAAAATTACAAAAGTTATACTTGCATGCTAGTTCCTTTAAACATATTATCGCATTATTTTATTATTGTTAGGTGAAGTGAAACTTAACCAGTTTTAGTTTTGGAATATGTATTGCAACACTTTGTTCTCATTCTTTCTATCTCACGGTTCACTTTACCAAGGTCTAAACTAATAATAAACTTTTCTCTGCTTTACTGGCTATTGTTCCATGTTTGAAAACCATGAACAGAACGGAATGTCGCACTAATCCATTCATTTCTTGTAATACGTTATTCATCATGATCATCACAGCCTTCAGCAGGCGACTCAATGAAGGCTATGAGATGGTCATGACGGCACTCTGCCTATCAGGGAGTATCGAAAAATCACAATTATAAGATGACAGAAACTACGAGAAGCTTTTCTCTCACTTCCTCGTACCCAGCACACTAAACAGCTAACGTAACTAAACAACTCTTTTCCAGGCAGGCTATGTCATCTGCAATTTTTTCGCCATCAGTACGATGTTCCAAAAAATCATTCGGTAAAGTCATTTCAAAATATATAAATCGCAATCCGGTGGACCGACCAGTTAAGATGTGTAAGTAATCACGACAACAACATGAAAGTATGAATAACAAATGATTCTCGTACCTCGCTGTAGATAAGGTTGTCGTGAACTTGTTCGAGCTCAGCTGCATGTCTGCTAACATCCTCGTCGTCACTGAACATAACAGAGGCCATGCTAGAGAAGGTTCAGCGGGTAAGCTTCACTGAAACTGATTAGTAGAATAGGCTTGCCAACCACTGACGCTCGGCTCAGTTAACGGCGGCGAATGTCTATCGATACCGCACAGGTAAGCGGTGGAAATCCGATTGAGTTTTTGAGTTGGTACCTTATTATTAACGATTTTTTCCCGTTCATAGCTTTGTTTTTTTTTNTTTTTTTTTCTTTGACTACTATGCTATAATATGCAACGAAGGCAGCCACCCCTGAAAAAAAAATGCAACGTCCCAATAAGTTAGAGACGCTGCGGATGCGAAGGGCCTACGAGCGCCGAGAGCCACAGATTGACGCAAGATCAAAGCTCCACTCTAGAATCTCTCTCGCAAGCTCGCAAGGGAAAGGTACCCCGGGTGAAGCCCACGGGGGTGGGTGGCGAGGTTTCCGGGGGTTACGGTGTCACACATTCACGGGACGTTAAAATCCCTCCAATCAAATTTTGAGCGCTCAGAAGGATTGTTTTGCCTGGCTTTTTTCTTTTGGACATCAATTGGTTCAGTTGGTGTTTGACGGCTAGGTAGTTTCCGTTTGGTACGGCTTAGAGTTTCTGCTTCTTCTAAATTTATAGAACAGTATTCCACACTTTAAAAAAAAAGATGCCTAGAAAGTATAGAAACCAGCATCTAGAAGAAACAAAGGGATAATGAGAGATCATAGAAACAATGCTTCACCGAACGCAAACTATGAACGGATTTATATAAAAGCTTGTAAATAGTTGCTATATGAAAGAGCAGAGTAAAAAAACATGCTCTCCAACGTTCAAAATTATCGAATTTCAGCAAGAGGTGTGATTTCGATCATGTGAGGTAAGCCATTTTGACATGATGAGGATATTCGTGAAATGTTACATTCCAGAGTTCGGAACATGAAAATTAAAGAAAGCAAAGGCGTATCCCATGGAAAGTGAACCTTTTTACTAGTTAACTAGCGGAAAAAAGCAAGAAAACAACAGAGGTAAAGGGTAGTTGTTGACAGGGGTGCGGGTAGAAATTTCCCGCGAGCGGCGACCGGTAAATTGCCCTGACGTCGTACCACTCTTGAATCATTCACAACATATACTCTCTTGACTGGTAGCGGCCGCCATTGAACTTGCGACTCGTGATCGCCACAATGCTTGGGTGATAGTAAACAAGTGTGCCAAAGTCAACTTTTTGGCAGGTTTTCTTCCCCCCCNAAAAAAAAAAACCAAGTGCGATCATCTTAAAGATGCTGTTTGAAAAGAAAGGAATCTTTGTAGCAAGCCCAGAGTGGTGAACGGAAAAATTACCTCAAGAAGGTGGATATAATGGGCGCGAACATTTGAATGATCTTTTTGTATTGCCTAGGTCAGGTAACTGACGGTGGGGCAGGGGGTTTAACGATTCGAGCAGTATGGGCGAACAAGTGGGCGATTGGTCTCTGGGGTCCTTTTTTTCTATTAGGTAAGCAATATTTGGGAATAAAATGGATTTTCACCCTAGGAAAGTAATACATCAAATTGCCGAGGAACTACACTCTAACAAGGAAATTGCAGATGGTTACAATGTTTTGTGGCGCTTGAGGGGGTGTGGAAACTTTGGACGCCCATCAAGTAATCGGGCATCTAAGGCGAAGTAACCCCTATCGGGTGCGAAAACTCAAATGTTATCATACTGTCCCATATTATCTTTGAAGGCACAGTTCACGATAAAAATGATTTCTTAGATTTTCCTATAGTATGAATTCGAGGCTCATGTCGTACCATAATTACCGTTACAAACTCGAAAAACCCCCTGGATAGAGCACAATTGGGGCCAGAGATTGTATTGCGTGAATGCCACACCCCTAGTGAGCGAGCTTCAACGGCTTTGTAGGGGCTGCACTATCTCAAAGAGGTGCGGTGCTATTCACGCGTCAATATAACGAGGTCATCGGACGAGACGCGCTATAACATCATGCCTACAATAATAATGGGAGAAATAAGAACCTATAAGACGATGTAAGTAAAAAAAATGACCGACTATGCACGTTTACAGAAGGATTGCGTTTTTCAGGATCAAAAAATTTGAAGTTACTTCGTACTTCGTTACAAAAGTTATTTTGAACGTTTGACAAGTAAATTGTTGACCTATGAAGTGAATTCTTAATCTCGAAGGAGCTTCATTGCGATAGTAAAGAGATTTACTCTAATCCATGGTGAAGCCGTGGACTATTTATTATTCTTACTTGTACGACTCGTCTTCACTCATGTGCGAGCACCAGCAACAAATCATTCGCTTCTGTCTTTCACGATCGCCATCCACGGTAGACTTAGAATCCGACGAAGATGACGATGTGAGAAGTCGTTCATCTGTTTTCGCAGTTGCTTCACGTGATCGACAAGCCCATCCCCATCTCGCAGCAGGCCTACCCTCAGATCGTGAAGATTATTCCACCGGATCGCGGAGTCGAGACATTCTGCACATATCGGAGCTGCGAAGTCCGGTTCGATACTGAGTAAGCCGATTGAACCTCAAAAGACATTACTCGAGTGCTCGAGTGGAATCGAAGAGATTAGTGTGAAGTTCCGAGTCGGCCAGACGGTTAGTAACCTCTTTCAGAGGTGCGAAGGCTGCCCACGCTGCTCTTTGCCGTCTCACAAGTTCTTCCCTCATGTCTTTGCTCATATTCATGGAACCTCCGGAAACACGTAGGACGAGGTTTCATTGATAGGTTCACCATCGATCTTAACTTGACCTCCGTCAGCCCAAGCATTCTTCATGCACTGTGTTTTTGATTGGTTGATCCGCAGCCCCACTTTCTTTCCTGCTTTCTTAAGCTCAGCAAGCATAGTCTCATCTTCCACAATGCTGCTTGAAAAGAGAACGATGTCGCCCACAAAGCGGAAATTTGACAGGAACCGTCCATCTACACGAATGCCTTTTCCTCCCAGTCTAGCGACTTAATAACCCACTGCAGCGCGGCTGTAAACAGTTTCGGCAAAATTGTGTCGCCCTGTCTCACTCCCTTCCTTATGGGAATGGGGAGAGGTTGTTGGAACAGCTTCACCGTCGCGCTGCAGTGACTACAGCAGTCAGCTAGTGTTCTTATGTAGGGAGGGTTCACTCCTTGATCGACCAGCGCTGAAAGAGCCGCATTCGTTCCGACGCTGTCAAAAGCTTTTTCATAGTCAACAAAGGTAAGGACAAAAGACATTCGGAATTCCAGGCACACTTCGATGACCATTGCGACCGCTTGGATGTGATCTAAACAGCTGAATCCCTTCCGGAATCCGGCCTGCTCCATAGCTTGAGCTTCATCCAACGTTCGCGATATGCGGGCTAGAATGATCTTCGTGAACAGCTTGTAAAGCACGCTTAACAAGCTTATTGCGCGGTAGTTGCGAAGATAATCTCGGCCTCCCTTCTTGTGAAGAATGACCATCCGAGAGTTCCTCCACTGGTTGGGGATCTTCTCCTTCTGGAGGTAGGTTGTCATATGTGTTGCGAAAAGCGAATGGAGGTCGTAGCTACCTGCACGGAGTAGATCGGCTGAGATCTTGCCGGTGCTTAGAAATGCGCCCATTTTCATGCTCGCAATCGCACTCTCATCTCCGAAGGAAGGATCGGAGGTGCTGTTCCGCCAGTGCGGATTTTTGGTTTTCGCACGTGTGTCGTGGATCGGTACGGTTGGCATAAAATTTCCGTGTAACTTCCTACATCTCCAATCTCGATGTTGTAATTGTTCCGTCCTCCTTCGAAGCCTTTCAAGGTGTGTGGCGTTCTGGTCAAGCCTCAAGTTCCTTCTTGTCCTGAGAAAATCCTTCTTCGCATCTGAAATGCGAGCGGAGGTATCCACTCGAGGAAGCTTGGCCTGTTCAGCTCCAGTGAGGGGACCCTGAACCAGCGTAGTCTTTGGTCGGGTCATTCGAGACCTGCCAGTCCTATCGGGACAAGACGTCATTGAGAGCATCTCCGTCGAATGCAACATGCTTCGAGCTCTTTGCGCGATGTTGAGAGATCTTTTCCAGCTTGTGACTGAATCTGATCATAGCGCGGAGTCGATGATCAGAGCCACAGTTGAAGGTACAGTTCACGATATTTT